TGATGAGTGGTGTATGATGAGTGGTGTATGATGAGTGGTGTATGATGAGTGGTGGTTGAACAGCTGTTGAATGTCCGTAACACGGAAGTTTTGCACACTAAACTTCCTTTGACTAGGAACCTATCAGCGTCTCTTTCTTCTGTTGTCCTAAGTCTCAGCTGTTCCGGCGAGCACTTCATGAACGAGCGGGCATGGACACCCAGTAGTTGCCGCCGGCTTGTCCGGCCACTATGCCTGGGCCGCGCCACCGTGCACTCAATCGTGTGATGCCTTTGCCCCTACGTCTTCCAGGATAGCACTATTGCTGATGGGATTTGGCTGTTCAGAACAGAGGTCATCTCCAGGCTGATACGGGCTATGGCCGGCTCTGCGCATCAACGAATTCCTGGCTTTGACCGTGACATCCATACACTCCTGCCATTGGGAAAAATCTTGTGGTGACATCTGATCACCTACTTTCTTGAACGCTTCCTCCAAGTGCCACCCTTGACTTTCAACATATCCCATTTCTTCATGAGCTTCTCCCGGAATGTCGAGTGATGTGGTTCCGTCATGCTCCAACACATCGGAATTGCCCTCCTAGATTGCATCGACTGGCATCGAACTTGAGGTATTTTGGTCGGCCGAATGCTCTAGTCCAATGTCTATGCAGCCTACCGATGAGCTGTAATCTAGAAAAGGTTATGAGCATTATTCATTGATATTATTTGTGAAAGATTCCTTGATTCAGGGCTGAAGGATTGATGTGTTCCACCGCGGCCGTTTCCGTTCACTTTTCAGGCCTTAGCCATACTTTTGTGCTACGCATAGCTGGCAAAAGGGCGCCCTGTCTCGCTTTGACAGTGGTAGCGGAGCTTGCTCGATCCTGGCGCGTTCCGCTTTGCGTGTTGCTACATTGCTATAGCTTGTGCATTGTTGTACATTGAGCATTGCGCATTGCATAACAGAGTTGCCCTAGATCTTTTGCATTGACGGCATTGTCCTTGGTCGGTTGAGTTGGGTATATAGCTGCGCTTGAGCCCTGGCGAGACCGTTGGTTGGACAGAATTTGCTTGATTTGAACTTTGTCGTACATTGTTACAGCTAAGCTGGTGTTGGCAGAGCTTGAATCGGGGTGTGTCACGTTGTTTCATTTACAGTTGCCACAGTTGTTGATTGTTGCACGGCCTTTCGAATATCGGAAGGATGGCTCACCCTGAAGAGAAAGGCAGCTCTGCCTGGTACAAGGTGCCAGTTTGGGATGGGAATCCCAGTGGCTTCCGCGCCTTCAAGCGGGAGATGGAGTGGTGGATGGCGAGCATGGATGCCTCTAGCTGCACAAAATATAATGTGGCTGCTCGTTGGACCTTACGCCAGACAGGCGTCGTTCGTGCTCGTTGCGAGGAATTCTCCCCTTCCGAGTTGGAAGGCGCTGCCGAGGTCAGAGGGGAAGACCCCACGACAGGAGAGGAGATTGTGTTGGAACCTGCTGATCCATGGAAAGGCATTCGTAAGTTGATGTCAGCCCTTGAGGAGTCCATGGGTCGTACATTGTTGGACAGAAAAGGTGAGTTGAGGAAACAGTTTTATACTGACCTTCGACGCAACCCTGGTGAGCGCATCAGTTCTTTCTGTTCACGGTTCCGCACGCTCAACTCTGAAATGAAGCGTGAAGGAATCACGTTGCCGTCGGATGAACTTGGATGGTTCCTGAGGAATCGGATGGGGTTGGACGCCATCCGGGTTCAGCTTCTCGACACCGCGCTTCGCGGTCGGGAGGCCTATGAGGAAGTGGAGGCCGAAGCGCTTCGTTTAATTCGTGACTTGCATAGCGAGGACCCGTTGCACAAGAAAAGCATTGTTGACAGGTCACCACTCCTTGGCCGTTTTCTTGGACAGTCGCAGTCCGGGGCCTCCTCATACCGGACCTCACTGCCTTCAAGTGCCAGTTCCTCATTCGGTACCAAGTCATACAAGACTTCCTTTTCAGGTGGTTCACAGAAGAGCTTCAAGCCCATGCCAAAGGGTGCACCTCGTTCAGCGTTGGTTGCAGAAGCTCCTATAGAGGCTGAGCCGGAACTCGAAGAAGAGGAGGAATTGGTTCCTGATGTTGAGGAATCAGGCATGTCTTTGGAGCAAGTTCTACAGTGCGAAGCGGAAGTTTTGGCCGCTGAGCTTGAAGAGTTGGAACAAGAAGGTGTTGCTCCAGAGTTTATTGAGGGCCTTGAGACGGGTGTTGAGCAGGCTGCTGAATCCCTCGTTACAATGAGGGAAGCTCGAAGCAAGATAGCAGAACTTCGAAAAGATCGTGGATATGGAAAAGCCACTGCCGCTGGACAGCCTTCAGGTGCGAAGCCAAAGATGACTGGCAATCAGGTCAACGGCAAGAAGTCGCGCTCGAGTTGCTGGGATTGTGGCCAGACTGGTCACTGGGCCGGTGACCATGGCTGCCCTAGTCTAGGGGCAGGACTTTTCAAGCCAAAAGGCGGCAAGCCTGCAAAGCATGTCAGAGTCACAGAGGCCTTGGCGACAGAGTTCGATACAGAGGCTGAACCGGCTCACGAGGATGCTCATGAGGTGATGACAATAGCTCGGCGTTTCAGCATTGTACATTGTCAGACGCTCTTGACAAGTCGGTTGAAGTGTTTGCAAGTGAAGTGCATTCGTTGGCGTTGGACAAAAAGTTGATGGGAGTTTTAGACAGCGCTTGCAATCGTACGTGTTGCGGACATGTTTGGCTTGAGCATTATTTATACGCATTGAAAGCCGCGCCCAAGGTCATCCAAGGCCTCGTGTCACAGCAGGTGGAACAGGAGACCTTCAAATTTGGTAACGGAGGGACGCAGAAGAGCACAGTTCGCTTTAGATTGCCAATGATGCTTGGGAAAGATTTGATTTTGATATGGGTGTCGGTCGTACAGGTTGGCAGTTTGGGCCTTTTGTTGGGTCGGGATTGGTTGGATAGCATTGGTTGTGTTTTGAGCTTTGCAAAGAAGATCATGAGAGCTGACCATTTGTCTGGCAACCACATCAAGCTGCACCAGTTGACCGCAGGACACTTTGCCTTCCGCCTCATTCCGAGCTGCTGGCCTACACCAGGTCCGGGTCGTTGGCGTCGGGTTGGACAGGATGGGATTGTTGCATTGCAGATTTCACATCATGAGTGGTTGAGTCGAAAGTTGCAAGCAGTTCATTCCTTTCCCAAGTTCACATCCACAAAGCATGAGCATTTGTTGTCGGAGCACAGCATGCATGCTGCAGATTTGTCGTTGATTGGTTTACCAGTCGAAAGGGTTGATCCACCGCATGATCTGGCTCATAGGATGATTGCTGACAAGGCATTCAAATCGACGACGACATCCCCTACCAGTTCACTCGCTCGAAACTTTTCACCCGAGATCCATGGAAGCGGCGCCAAAGCACGCTTCAACATGGCGGCGCATGTTGCTGCGCCTCGAAGCAAGAGTGCGATGGTACGCGCAAGGCATTGTCTTGTGGCTTTGTCGGCGGCCGTGGCTGCGCTTTGCACCCTTGCCGTACCCGTCCATCACCACCGGACGGCAATGGCTTTTGCAAGGCCAACAGATGGTCGCAAATGGAGGTTTCCTTCGACGCCACCTTCAGAAGGCATAAGATTTGGAGTTGTTCACAGCTGGAAACCTGAAGGAGTGCAGTTGGCTCCGCGATCGTTTGGGTTGGCGGATGGCCTTCATGGAAGATCCAATGCTCCTTGGAATGATGGCCGCAAAGAGCAGCAAAGGAGTTGCATCCCGCCTTCGTCAAGAGGCCCTTGCGGAAGCGAAGAAAGAAGCCGTGAAGGAAGGCAAGTAGTACGAGGCCATTCGAACGCTCATCGGACCTCGGGGAGGTCTGCCTGCTCTCAAGGCAGATCTTCTGAAGTTGGCGGCTCTTGTGGAGATCACCCCTCCGGAGAAGACAATAGTCGAAGATTTGAAGAAGCTGGTGAGGCCTATCGTCCAAGAAATCGTAAGCAAGACGCTAGTAGTTCGTCCTTCTCCAAGTGGAGCAAGTTCTCACCACGAGCCACCGAAGAGTTTGACAGATCGCCCAAAGCCTTCCGTCGCCCCAAGCACGCCGCTGACAGTGGCCCCATCTACGCCACCAACTCTGGCTTCCACAGTGCCAGGAGTGCAGCTGCAGGACATACACGAGCTCCTGGCACAGCAGGATCAAAAGTTTTAGACAATGCTGACCCAAGTGATGAGCTACATGATGTCTATGCAGGGCGTGCAAACAGCGGGACCCATGCACTTCGATCTCTCAGCAATGGACGTTTTGATGGGAAGCAGTTTAGGCAATTCCCAAAGCCTGTTGGGAGCTCATGGATGGAGCACGGAGGAGGCGGAGATTCATATACCTGGAAGACACCCCACTCTGTTTGCTATTTGGCACCTTTGAGTGCCAAAGGGTGCTGAGCTGACCTCCCTTCGGGGGGGCGAAAGAGTTCCACGAGAAAGAGTTCCACGAGATGACCGAACAAGAGAAGAGCGACTTCAATCTTCAGCAGAGAACTTGGTTGCAGGAGTCGGAGGCGGAACTGACCGAAGGCCCGTTCTTCTGGAATCAATGAGCTTTCCAAACAACCCTTGGGCTATTCATCAGGAGCTCAAGAAAGGATAGGCTCTACAGATCAGCCAAGCATGGGAGAAGCACTGTCGTGACCGAGAGGCAGTTTCGAAATCCAACAATGAGGTCCTCGAGGTAATGAAGCTTGAATGGGACGGCAAGTTCCAAAGCTGTCTCTGCAGAGAGAACTTCATCATGAAGGTTGAGATTGGCCCTCAAAGGATCAAGAAAGGTCCAGACAAACCAAGCAAGCAACCATTGGTGGGCGAGATCTACACAACCACCGAACAGGTTGCCAAGCAAACCACTCTTCGAGGACATCGAGTGCTTCCTTCCATGTCATTCGAGAATGGATGGAACTTCCTGAAGCCAGAAGACTGCAGAGAATGCATCAAGGCAGTGATGGCCAACGACCCTTACTGTTTCGTGTTAGCCTTTCCATGCGGGCCCTGGTCACCGTTGACCAGACTCCAGAAGAGTGAGTCTTTGGGAGAAAGGAGAAAGCAGGGTCGCATCTTGCTCGACTTTGCCCTCATTCTTGCCCGTATGCAGCTGAAGCGGAAAGCGCATTTTATCCTGGAGAATCCCAAGCCATCTCTTGCTTGGACACTCCCTGAGCTTGCGCAGTTCATCGAAACAGCTGGAGTGGAATGCGTCGATTTTGACCAATGCGCTTTCGGGCTGAGGAGTAAAGAAGGTTGATTGCACAAGAAGCCTACACGGGTAGTAACAAGCTCTTCGCGTGTTGCTGATGAGTTGAGGGACATGAAATGTTCCAAGGATCATGACCACCAGCCGGTCTTGGGAGGATCCAGGATCACCTCCAATGCAGGCCATTACCCCGTTGCCTTGGCCAAAGCCTTCATCAAGGGCTTAGAGCGGCAGTTCCATGCTGATCATGGTCATTGTCGAGAAGTTTTGGCGGTGGATGGAGAGGAGGTGGAACCAGATGATGACACTGGTGAACAGGCTGTGCAGAATCCTTTCGACTCAGAATCGGACATATCGTCTATGGGGGAAGAGCAGGAGTCTGGCACCAGAATCTCGTCGGTAACGAGGCTTGCTGTGAAAAGGCTTCATGCAAACACAGGACACAGGTCGAACAGACGACTTGCCAGGGCACTTGTCCTAGCCGGTGCCCCAGCTGAAGTGATTGCTGCAGCCACTGCAAGCATTTGTGATGAGAAGAAGAGACCGAAGTCCAGGAGGCCAAGTACATTGCCTTCGCCCAAAGATGTGTCACACCAAGTGCACATCGACATCTTCGAAAGCAGTGATATCAATGAGCAGAAGTACTATGTCGTACACTGCATTGACTGGACTTCACGATTCCAGATGGGCGAAATGATCTTGACAAAAGATTCTGAAAGCATCTGCAATTGGTTCAAACAACGCTGGCTACCAATATTTGGACCCCCTCGTGTGCTCATTGCTGACCAGGGAAGTGAGTTTTTTCCTGGGCATTTCAACAAATGTGCGATGAGCATTCGATTCTGCTTTATCACATTCCGGTCCAGGCTCCATGGGCCAGTGGCATTTGTGAGAGAGGAGGTGGAATTTTGAAGGGCTTGTTGGAGTGTTGCATCAAAAGCAAATCAGTTGCAGGGCTGGAGGAAATGAACATGGCATTCCAAGAATGTGTGCTGGCATACAATGCTGACATTAATGAAGCAGGTGTGTCACCATGTCAAGCCGCGATTGGGCGACAGCCAAGGATGGCAATTTCAGCCAACGACTAGCTGAACATGGGCTAATCGATCGCAATCCGAGTTTTGCAAGGCAAGTTGCACTTCGTGAAGTGGCCCGGCTTGCAATGGTTCGCCTCCACTTTTTCCAGAGGCATTCGGTGTGCTGAGCTCAGCAGGTCGAGAAGCAGCACTGTGTCCCAACCCTTGGAACCAGGAGACATTGTGTATTTCTGGCGTGGATCCAAGTGCAACTCGATGACAGCTCCTTCCAAGAAGCGCCTTTCGCTTCGCCGCTGGCATGGACCAGCTTTGCTTGTTGCCCTGGAGGGAGTTGACAAAGTGCTTAAGAGAACATCTGAGGTTGGCGTCCAGCATGGAAAAGATTAGTGCAGACGTGTGGCATGATGCCATCAGAGATTGCGTGGAGTCACCGCTTCACGATGCTCGCAGGGATCCTCAAGCTTCCCGCGGCACCTTTACCAATAGCTGCACCTCCCACACCTTCCAGACCTTCGAGTGCACCAGCTCTACCACCGGTGCCTAAGGTCAGTTGAGGAGTTGCCGCCGGTTGCACCAGTTGACCTGCTGCAAGCGTTGGACGACGGCAATCCCGAGCCGTTGGCACTTCCAGGAAGCGGCAGTTTGAGCAGGAGGGCATCGACACTACCTTCTTTTGGAGTTGGCTCTCAGCCAGCTTCAGTTCATGCAGCCCCAGGGACGCCAGTACCTGCATTGATTCGACAGGCAAGCCAAGTGACACCACAGAGACCACTCTCGTATGGAGGCAGCAATTGATGATACCTGGGAGTTGGAGGAGGAAAGCAGTTCCAGGAAGAGGACGGCGGAGGTGGACGCTGAAGCACTTAGAAGGGAGAATGGAGACCACAGAAGGTCATTCCGTTTTGTGACCACTGCACTTGTCCAGAATGTATTGAAGGCAAAGAATGGCTTGGTGTCGAAGTTTGCCAAAGCAATGCCAAGGTCTCTGAGAGCGAAGCCGTGTCTCTTCAAAGACACGCTGGAGGAGTACTTCAATTTAGATTCCTTAAAAAAATATATATTATGGAGGTTACCATCATCATCATCAATATACCCATGTGATGTGATCAAAAGATCTAGAAGCTTTCCATTGAAAAATTGGGAAATGTCCAAACAAACGAATTAAAGAGATGGGATAACTCATAGAGAAAATTTCAAAGTGGGCTGCTTATAATTATAAATGATCTTGTTGAGACGAAAGGGTACCTGATGTAAATTTAGGGGTCGATCCTTGAAGGTGGCCGCACCTTCTCTCAAAACTCTGGCACATGCACGGGTGTATGAACGTTTCAAACGATTGCAGCGTGGCTCAACTAGGCCTAAGCCCGACGACGCCCAAGCCTCACGTCGTTTTGCAGGAGGGCTGTGAAGAGGAGCTATATCTCGTCTGCTCCCACGCATCCCTGAGACTGGATGGGTACCCCTAGCGCCCGACCCTCGAAAACTAGTAGCAAAAAAAACAAGGATTCGAGGGGGGGCGCAATCGCCGGCCAAAATGGCAGCACTACGGGGGGTGTTCAAGCTCGAAGATTCAAGATCAAAAACATGGCGCCGCCCCACGGGCCCCACGCGCGCGCGCTCCTCTTGAACTGAGATGGCACTTTAAAATAGCAATTCTTCAAAAAAAGCAAAAAAGATTTTTTACTTAAAGGAAAATATATAAACTTAAGGAGACGGGGGTGGACGAAAGGTAGCATGTCTGTTGCTGCTGCTGGTTGCTGCTCCTGCTGGTTGCTGCTGTTGTTTGGCTGTTGCTGTTGCTGCTTCTTGCTGGTTGCTGCTGTTGCTTGAATCCTGAAGGCTGCTGCTGCTGCTGTCCCCCCCTCTTTCAATTTCGTCTGCGCAAACCCCCAAAAAACTGAACCAAAACCAAGGGTTGTGGAGGCTAAACTTGTGTGAGCTTTGGTGCTTTGCTGCTGTTGTCGTTGCTGCTGCCACTGGTGCCACAGCTGCTGCTTTCTGCTTTGCTGTGTTGCTACTGCTGGTTGCATCTGCTCAGATCGCAACCAAACTCTCTGCGGCGCAGGGTGGAGTCGAATGGGGGGGGGGGCCCATGTAAAACCCAACTCTTAGATCATCGAAATTGTACATCGGACCACTTCACCACCCCAATAGATTTTTGCTAAAGCAAAGACGCAACTCAGGTAGCGTAACCGCGACCTTTCGTGAAAAAACGAAACGAATAATGTCAAAGCGAGACAGGGCGCCCTTTTGCCAGCTATGCGTAGCACAAAAGTATGGCTGAGGCCTGAAAAGTGAACCGAAACGACCGCGATGGAACACATCAATCCTTCAGCCCTGAATCAAGGAATTTTTCACAGAGGACCTATCTTTGTGCTGATTCAGAAGCGGAGATTCCAGGCTGTGGAAAAACGTGACCAACACTGCTGGCGTGTCGCCGATCAAACGGGGCGTGCGATGCTCTGCCCGGTCCTCTAAGATTCTCCATTTCCCTTGTTCTTCCGTGTCGAAACGCCCGTAGGTAGATCTAAGTGGGTATTCAGTGGGGCTGAACCTTGGAGCACCGAGGCGAAGCGACTTCGCTGCTCTCCACACATGGATCCCGTGGACCCTTTCAAGTGCCATCCGGGTTGCTCTGCCAGCTTCATTAAATGGCTGACACTTGGATCGCTTCCGCTCAAAACTCTACCTGGAAGGGAGGAGCTGCAAACCAACTGTTTTGGAGCTCGCTTGGATTTCGCCGTCTGTTGCCTTTGAAGTGAATGCTGCTAAGACCGCTCGTCGTGAGGTGAAGTGGAAACAAATCCCAGAGCATGAGAAGGCAGATTAGAGAAAAGGAGCAGAAGCAGACAGACAACTTCGCTTTCGAACCACTCAGCGAAGAACAGTCAAACAGAGTCTGTTCCAAGTTACGAGATGCTGGAGAACTCAAAAAGATCCTGCATCCTCGGTTCATTTGCACCGACAAGAATGAATGACGGGAAGCGATCTGCATCCACTCCGATGCCACTTCTGGCAAATTCTCGGCTTGTTATTCCGGGCTATCAGGACGAAACTGCATACACAGTTCGACAAGATGCGCCCACCAGTTCGAGGAGCTCTCAACACATTTTTTTGTTCGTTACAGCTGCAAGCAAAGGATGGACATTGTGGTCGGCTGACATCAAGAGCGCCTTTCTCAAAGGCAAGTTGTTTGCTGAAGGAGAGCGTGAACTTTACATTGCCAACATCCGTTGCCAAGCGGAGGATGAGCCTATTCTACCGTTTGTCAAGACATAACTTTTCGCAAAGGCGTATTCGGACTTGCAGGAAGTCCAAGACGTTGGTATTTGAGGTTATACCGGTCGCTGACCAATGTCGGCTGGATGAGGAGTTTGATGGATGCAGCATAGTGGTTCCTGCCTGATGCCAACCAGTGCCTTCACGGGATCCTAGTATCCCACGTGGATGATTTGTTGATGGCAGGTTATCGTGGGCAAGAGTAAACCCTTGACCAGTTGGGCAAGGAGCTTGGTTTCGGAAGCCTGGAAACAGGTTGTTTTAATTATTGTGGGAAACAAGACAAACAGTTTGCTGACAAACAATTGAGGTGAATACGCAAGCTTATCATGAAAATGTATAGCTAGCAGTGGTGCCGATCCATTGAAAGAAGCAGCTGGACAGCACTCTCACCCCAGGCGAATATCGCCAGTTGCGAGCATTGTTGGGCAGCCTGCAGTGGCTTGTGACTTAAGTCAGGTTTGACATGAGCTATAACCTCTCCGTGCTTCAAGGAGAACCTCCCACAGTTCCGACCTTGCTCAAGGCCAATGCGCTGGTCCGGGTCATGAAGAAAGACTCTGGTTTCAATCTGAGATTCCCTAAGCTGGATCTGACAGATGCAGGAATTCTGTTGATAACAGATGCTTCGCTTGGAAACGTTACTCGCAGTGGCGGATCTGAAGGAAGTGTTTTCACAAAAGTTTGCAGTCAAGCAGGTTATTAAGTGTTTGTTGGAGACAAAGAGTTGAGTTCTTGGGTTCAGATGAGGCATTTCATGTGTCTTTCTACAGCAGAGGATTGTTTGCCGAATCCAAAGGATTCGATGTGCTGGACCGTAAGGAGGCACACAATGAACACATTCCAGTTCTGCTTGTTACAGACACCAAGGACGTGTTCGACAAAACTTCCAGCGATACATCAACATACGGCTCCTAGAAGAGTTTAGCCTACACCGTTGGCTGGATTCGAGAGGTGTTTCGAAAGGCCAGAACTTCCATTGTGTGAACAGCAGCGGAAAACATGGTCATAGACTGCGGTCGCTGCATGGCCACAAGCTGCATGTGATCTCCTGAGCCTGGGAATTTATTTCGATTGTAAGATTTAAAATCGCATTTTTAAACTACATTCGCACAATATACACTGACACTTCGACACTGACATTTACATATACACATTGAAACTCGGCAAGCACGCAGTGTAAGTATGCAACTAATGAGTACGCAAGAATACAATGAGTATGCAAACAAACATGCAATGAAAAGACAAGTGCAAGTATTGGAAAACTAGCACGGGAGATGTCCTAATGAAAAAAACATTTCCCCACTTTACAAATTCTCTCTTAAAGGCGGAGGGCGGGACGAATAGCGTCAACCAAAAGTGCAACCCTCTGCGGAAATCGTTCGTGTCGAGTACGCCAAATGCAGGCGAGAGCGCGATTTGTCCGGTCCGCGCGTAACCCTCTGCGGAGATCGCGCGGTTCGAGTTCGAGTGCGCGAAATGCAGGCGAGAGAGTGCGATTTGCCGGGTGCCCGCGCAACCCTCTGCAGAGATCGTGTGTGTCGAGTGCGCGAAATGCAAGCGAGAGTGCGATTTGGCGGTTGCCCGCGCAACCCT